GAATGTCTAAGCTACCACTTGAGTCTTGAACAAATATTAAGAGCATTTTCAACATCCTTCATCCCCGCCCCACCAATTAAATCAGAAGCAGTCTCTAATTTCACCGAGTAGGGCCGTCGGAATCGAGCTTTCCCTAGCACCAACATCGTTCCACCCGAGGGCCAGTGACCCCGTCTTATCTAATACACGCCCGTCTCCGTCCAGTTCAACATGAATACACGTTACCCATGAGCCGGGTCTTGCCGATAACTTCCCCGGTCAGTGAAGTCTTACAGCGCCTTCGATCGCGCATGCATAATCGAACAACCATGGACGACCAGCTGATTTCACCCGTCGCACTGCGGGGACGAATGCGTCAAGAAACGGACGCAGCCGGAGAAAAAGATCGTTCAACAACCGGATACGGTCTATTTCAGGACACTCCTGGTATGGCTTATTGTTAGAATTATCCGTACTTGTGCTAGCAGGATGCTTTTATGCAAGCAAAGCGTCCGTAGAAGCCATTAGGAGCGACACTGGAGCCCGACTCGGTGAGTTCATCGTCAAACGCGCCTTAATTGTAGCTGTGATTGCCTCTATCAATACGCAAATAAATCTATCAGCTTGAACGTGGGAGCTACCTGCGTAAGCTTACATGGAAAAGTCGCACTACGCGGCTTACTGTAGAATGACTTTGCATTCGACTCAGTCACCAAATCAAATATTACCTCACTTTCGACCTCTCACCAATCTTCATTGCGTTTCCGGCGTACAGTCCAAACATCGCTGCCCATTAGCGGCTCCATCAGGTCTGAGTCTTCGAAGCAATCTCAGACAAGATCTAAATCCATAGTTCAACTTCAATGGCTAAGTGTATCTTCTGCCAGAACATAGGCTCCTCGATGGGTGCCTAAGGCTCGGAGTCTGGTAAGACTGTCCTGTCTGGTAGAACAAACTCAAGCTGAGATCATTGTCCTGGTGCCATCATCCAATGGAAACGTTTACTCATCCAATTCCATTCCAGGCCCCCAATAAGGTCACCAATGCACCGACCCCAGCCGAGACTGCACGTCCCCAGCCCGCCTCCAATCACACTTATATCCGTGCCCCACCGGCCAGCCAGGCCCACTTGCTGTCTCTTATCCAACCTTACAGTCGTGGGCTGGACACGCTCCACCCTCGACTGTCCGGGGGGAATGTCCTAATCACACCAATCACCATCGATGGTCGGACATCCTGGACTGTCCAGGAGGCTTGTCCCAGCCAGACAGCCGTGGTTTGGACCTGGACACTCTAGGCTGTCTAGGCACAGAGCTATGGATGAATCTCAGTGGTAGAGGCCAACCGGACATACTGTCTTCAATCGTACGGTCGTGAGTTTGACTCTCTCCACGCCCTGGACTGTCCGGGCGAACCGTTTCCAACCAGACAGTCGTGTTTCGTACACGTTCCACTATCCGGGGACCGTCCGGAGAGACCGAGAGACGGAGACCTTACACTGTCCGGGGACCGGCCAGACCCCGGTGTCCATCTCCAACCAGACTGCCACAGACCGGACACTGGTCTGTCCGGGGACCGACCGGACCCCGGTGTCCATCTCCAACCAGACAGCCATGGAGCGGACACACTGGTCTGTCCGGGGACCGGCCGGACCCCGGTGTCCATCTCCAACGAGATAGCCATGGAGCGACCGGAGCGGACACACTGGTCTGTCCGGGGACCGGCCGGACCCCGGTCGGTCCTGTCCGTCCTGTCCGGGATCCTGACCGGATCCTGTCCGGGGACCGGCCGGATCCCGGTGTCCATCTCCAACCAGACAGCCATGGACCGGACATACTGGTCTGTCCGGGGACCGGCCGGATCCCGGTGTCCGGGTCGGAGGCGGCGGCTCCGGGTCACCGCTGCCGCTGCTGCCGCTGCTGCCGCTCGAGTCTCAGTGCAAACAGGGCCCGGCCGTCCATCGATCGCACTCGCAGGGCGGCGGCGCCCACACACGCGCCGCCACCGCCCGGAGACAGCCGCCGCTGCGAGACAGTGGCCGTTTCCAGACAGGAGCTGCTGCGAGACAGGAGCTACTGCGAGACAGTTGCCGCCTGGAGACAGCCACCGCTGCTGCGAGACAGTAGCCGTTTCCAGACAGTAGCTGTTACGAGACAACCGTCGATCCAAGATAGTGGCTGCAGCGAGACAGTGGCTACTCCCAGCGGCTTATACCGGACAGGGCTGATCCGAGACAGCCACTGTTGCGAGACAGCGGCTGCCCTGAAATTCTTATTCGAGACATCGGCTGTAACGTGACAGTAGTTGCTCCCAGACAGTGGCTGCCCCAAAACAGTGGGCTAAATGCTTGGAGACAGCGGCACAGACGAGACGGTGGCCTTCCCGAATCAGTGGCTATCCCGATAGTGGTTCAAATGTTCTGAGACAGCGCCCGCTCCGAGACAGTAGCCCAGCTGCTCAAGAAGACCGATAACCGTTACCGAAGGGCGGGGTGGTCCGTCACGGAGACAGCCACCACTCGGGAACGGCTCGTCTCCCGCTCGGAGACGCTCAGATACGATACACCTCCCCCGCTCTGGAGACAATTAGTCCCTACTACTGAAATTCATTTAACTCTTGCACAACCCAAAATAATCTTGCTACTGGTCCTCTAAGCCAAACAAGGCACAAACAAGTCTCCGCGAACCCAGCAACGAAAACAGAAACACATTGGAGGGAAAGTTCCGTATTTAGGGAGCGGAGTCCCGACTGTTGCTTGCCTGTGCTCTAAAATACATCATGTCTTACTGTTCGTGGCACCGTTTCGGTCCCGCAACAATCGCGTCGTTCCAGCTCAGACATCCGGACCGGCTGCAATATCCCCATAAACAAATAATAACTCGTAGAATCTCCACAGTAGTAAACAAGAAAACGGTACCGAGAACAGACCATAGCATGACTCACTAGGTCGCGACATGGTGGTCTCAATACCTCATTCCCTTACGTTCCAAACATATGCAGGCACTCTTGCTTGCTATGCATGTGGTGCGGTGCACCCACGGTGCCAGTCTACTTTTAGTGTCGCGTGGGCCGGGTGGCGCCACGCTCAATCAGGGAAGATTGCAAAGTCGATATGAGGCGAGTTGAGTAAGGATGAAAGGTGGGACTGCACGCCGCGCCTACGCCGTGCACCGTAATCGTCACTGGGGTGGGTCGAAGGAGGACAAGCGCACTCAGTGCGTTCTATGTGGATTGCCACGGCTCACTGGTTAATGGTCCGGGGAACACCAAGATCGGCGATTCGCCACAATTTATCCATTTGTAGTGCATCACTGTGCGAGTATAAACCCTGAGTCATGACGTTCATTATTAGAGAGACCTGAAAACAAGGTTGATGCCCCACAGGCCACAAGTGCATCGTAAATTAATACGGCAGGTGCGGTACCATTGTGTTTTGCATCCTAACCTCAGGAACGCAGCACATGCAATAATGAAGCAGAGTTGCATCAGATGAAACGAGCAAAAAACGGACAGATCCAGGATGATAAATACATATCTGCTTCTGGATAATGAATGAGACGTTTAGCCGGTATTTTGAATCAATGACCATCCACCTGACCTTGAGCAATGCCTTGCAGTCTACTCAACTCTAATCCCGAGGAATTCCGGTAGCACGGGACAGCCTCCTGCCTCGCCTTATCCGTCAACACTTCCCAGAAGAGGCATTAGCGTCGGCTTCCAATCAGTTCGGCCGGTGAGCCAGCCGTATGGAATGGACGCGTAGCCAGACCACGTTACTGTTTATTATTTCTGTCCTGCTGGGCTTCAGGAGCTCACGGGTTGGGCATGCGTGGCATGATACTATAGAAAATAAACGTCAAACGCACTTCTTGTATAAGATCGCACTAGCATATGCATTGAGTAAATAATCACAAGTTAAAAGCCTTCCCAAATTGGAGACCTCAGGGGAACGTATGACCTCAGTGTCAATTTTCTATTCATCCTCAATAACCAGAAATTGCATGCACTTGCTCGCCTTCTAAATCAGACCGCCCCATCCCCGTTCCCAACCACACCAACTAACCGACTAGGGGCGCAATCCTCCACCCGCTGACCGACGTCAAGCAGCTCCACTCTCTCCACTCTCTGCCTCTCTCCGTCACGGTAAATCACCGTCACGTCACGTCACGGCACACGGCGTCACGTCACGGTCTGGTATCGTCCCCAGCGGCACTCGTGACTGATCTGGCGTCGGCAGCGTCGGCGGCGTCGGACGCCGGCGTGCAGTCGGATCGATGGCAGGGCGGCTGCGTGCCCCGGCCGCCCACCCACCATTGATTATATGTACGGCCGCCACCGTCGGTCGGTCGGTCGGTCGGTCGGATGGTTGGACGGCGGTCGGCGGTGGGGCGGTTGGTCAGAGGGTGGACGGACCCAGTGCCGAGACTGAATGACTAAATGACGTCATGGCGCCGTCTGTCGTCGCGCAAGTCTGGTGCGTCTCCACTACTGTCACCACCACGTCACTAAATATACCATCATCGCAACAGTTCTGTGCGTACGGGTAGGGCGACTACAGCGGCAGAGAGCAGACTAAACAACGTTTGGATATGAAGACCCGAGGTTCGATCGATTTGGAAAATTTAACGATGCGTGAGAAGACGGTCGTCCAGCTAGTTAACCAGAAATTAAGTTATTCGCTCTGTTCAGTCTCCAGACAGGCTGACCGTCAAATACTAAGCCAATCAACCGGCCGTTCATCCAACCAGCCCGTCATCTTGAACTGATGGCTGACAAGTTAGTCAACCATGCCCTACCGTCAACCATGCCCATGCCCTACCGTCCATTCATCCGACCAGTTACGATGCGACCGATCATGTCAATCAGACTGACACATACGGCAACCTAGTTAGACTTCGGTACCTCTCTCAAACAACCCTTTCCCCACCCAAATATAAAAAGGTGGCAATCCCTCTCTCTCTCGCACACCCGTACTCTTCCGACGCCCCCGGTACCGTTCATTTGCTCATTGATAGACCTACCTCTCGGAGTGTCTGCTCCTCCGGCTTTTTGGCAGACAGGTTCAGGTACCGGTCCAGGGCCGTGCAGAACTTCTGCGTCTGCTTCTCAAACTTCTTCCGGCCATCCTGTAAACAAATTCACTCTGATGATACGACAAAATAAAGGGTTTGATGCAAGTTACTAGGAAAAAAGAAAATTCAGAACAAAACAATCACTACCGTAGCATAGAGCTAATTTGACACGACAGACTTGCGAGAAACAGTAATTAAATGTAAAAGAGCGACACACTCAAATCACCTGAAGCACGAATATGAGTAATTCGTTAGCTACGTCCATCGGCTTGAATGAATGAAACCCACACAAAATAAGGAAAACAATATGAATGACGGAGTTACTTAGCTCGGACCGTTATCTTAGCTGTCCGTGAACAAGAGAGACGTTGAATGTAAGCATATCAGTTAAGTGTTTCAGCATCAGAGGAAACAACACTTGAACTTGCACGATTTACCGATGGAGGGGCTGATCGGATCGGGGGGCTGAACCACCTTTTTAGTAAATGAATCTATGGTGTAAATTTAGTTCATCGTTCATGAATAAAATCAGTATCACAGCCCCTATATTTCGACAGGTGGCTAACCAGCCCTCTGCCTGCCAGTGACCAGACCCGTGACCCAGGCATTGACCCCGTGACCCCTGTACTGACCCCGTGACCCCGGCACTGACCCCATGACCCCTGTACTGACCCTGGCGCCGCCGATGTGCTGCCGTCGGAAGTTGTCCAGGGCGCCGATGATCTGTAAGTAGCCATGGTCCAGCTGCCGACGGTAGAAGAGGAGCGTGAGAAAGAGGAAGATCCCGTATCTCAGCCGATTGACGGACGATGAGCGTTGATGAGGTAAGGACGAGGGAGTCAAAGCGGCACCCCTACACGAATGATCCTGTAAGGAAACTGAATAGATAGATCTGGAGTTCTTCGACACATCAGATAGTGCGATTTTGATACGATAAAATGACCTTGCGAAAGGAGCAAGGGTTTCTCGGCTTATAGGACATTTAGTGAGCAGTATGTTCTATTATGGCCTATAAGAGCGCTAAGCCTAACCTTTTTATCCAGTTCCCAAGCTCAAACGTGAAAAATGACCTGTATTCGAGGTCAACGGTGTTATCAAAACATCAGCTATCACGATTGTATCACCTATAGGCCTGCCAGCCGCTTACGCTCGTCTTCCCTTTAGGTTATCGCGTCTCACCGCTCGGAACACGTGATAAATCGCGAAGGGCAGTCGCGGCCCACCAGTCCAGTCACGTGACCTTGCCTCTCGGCAGTCCGGCGCGGAATACTAGCACGGCTCATTAGCACTGGCCGCGGCCCAGGATCGGGGTCAAGGTCACTGAGAGCGAGCCGTGCGCACGCGGTGGGCGGACAGGGCCGTTACGGGACACCGCGAGGCGCGACCGCCCGACGCGGAGTCCATGAACATTGAACAGGAAGTGCAGCCCAAAATCGGAATAGGCGGTGCTATCTGGTGGAACCGACCGAAAACTGGATTTGCGTGGAGAAACTGAGCTAGCATGTAGATTTGACACAACCAAGACTTATGCGTTTCAAGTATGGTTGTCGCTTGTGGAAATAAGCGACTTGATGTTTAAAGTAAAAACTAAATGCAACTGTCGTTAAAGGGACCCTCCCACCTTCAAAAAAGTTAATGAATTGGCATGAAAGTGATGTCGCTCGGTTCAGAAAGAGCAAAAATGAATATCTACCAAATTTCATCGAAAAATATTCACCGGTTTTCAAGATATTAGACTTTTACTTTTGTTTACTTTTTGGGATCTCCGCTGTTCCTAGCGACTTTATTTGAAAGTGCGGCATTTGTTGCGCGCAAAGCAGCATATACCACCGCGTGCTGCCAAACGTTTTAGTAAAAGATTTAAAAATCGTTAGATCTCCGCTGACGTCACAAATTCTAAGGGGGCATACCAATGCATTAGCCCCTTAGAATCCGAAAACTGCAAGTTTGAAATTCCATACCTCCGAATTAAAGCATTTTTCGATGTTGTGAATGCCCAAACCGGTATTTTCAGGCCATGGCCACCAATTTGGCTATCTCAACTCAAAACTAATGTTAAGGTGGGAGGGTCCCTTTAACTTGGGCCGAGCTGAGCATCCACTTTCAAGACGTTTCCGTTTCCTCAACCGGACATTTGACGGTGCAGCGTCACTCAGCACTTAACTCGACACGTCAGTAATCCGATGGCTTAGTGAATTCATCGAATGCTAATGCGCATAATTGTAAAGATTAACCCTCACTTATGAACAAGCAACGCGTGTACAATGATAAAAATTATGCCTTCATGCCGATGGACCCTAATTAGTATTACCGATGAACTTCTTTTTAGATCGAAACATTTAAATGTCTTTAAAGTGTTCAATACCAAACAACTAAATGTACACACAAATATTTGCAATCTGATAGCTTGTTGCTCTTTACGCTCCACTACAAGTGATGAACATCGAATCATACGAACGATAACTACGAAACGTCATCGACAGCAGGATCTTATCTGCAACCGGTATCTACGTAAGGCAGTGATCACGCCACGAGAAAAAGTAGGATTCAGCAGTGACGTCATCAACCACAAACGTCCGGTGTGGCGTCATGCCCAGCTGGACGGACGAGCCGTCGCCGGTCAGTCACATGGCTGGTGAATCGACGGGCGGCATTACCGGTTCGTAAAACCGCTCCTCGCCAATACACGTCCTGTGAGCCGACAACCCGCATGGTAGACAGGTTGGTGGCACTACTGGTGCTCAGGAGTCGGGCTTGTCCGTATATCTCGTTTGTGCATGAATAAGCAGGCCTAGAGTGAATGAACGGGTGGTTCTAGCGGCACACAAAAACTGCACCTCGGGCCAGCATCAACCCTGGCGATCAGCCCGAATCCCGATACCCGTGATACAGAGAAAAGCGGTACTTTGGACGGGTCAGCGCCCTCCCCATGCACTCAGCCATACAAGCTATTGTTAGTTCCACGCAAAACCTACAGTTTGATGAGTGTGATTAGATGCACAACCGTATCACGACAATGCCTGCTGCTGAAAGACCCGGCTCAGTATCCCGCCTCTCAAATAGTGACAAAGGAAAACAGCCGTGTTGGCGCTTTAGCGCTCAGGCAAGTGATGCATGGTAAACTGATAACGTTTCACTTATGCGATGGGACGATGGTTGACAGGTTACCTACGACGTGACTAGGTCATGTGAAAATGCAGCCATGATGGTTACCAACATAGTCACTGCTAAAATAACCATGAACGCAACAGGACGAAAAACGCGAATAAATCCAAATGTCGCGAACTGCCACGCCACGACACATGAAGTGAAACACAAAATAATACTGAGCTGTTAGAGCTCAGTGACTACAATTCACTTTGGCAGTGTTATAACACCATGGCACCGATTCACAATGTGGCTGCATCATTCATATTCAACTCCATATTCTAATATGGCCACACTGAAGTGTGTCTTTGGGTTTTATTATGTGGTGGCCAATGGGCATGCAACCAGGCAGGGGGTGAATAAAAACTATACATCATGATTGTCATTTAAAGAAGCAACAGGATGCAATGCCACTGCACACATCAAATTGCACTTTTGTTAGTAGCACCTCACACAAGGCATACCCAAGCTCATCCTTATTGACAATGTCAGTCATCAAATAATCCTGGAAAGAGTAAGCGGCATATCAAAGTCGCTAATGAAATGACAAACTTTACTATTAGAAAGCATACTTTTACATAATGTCGTCAGAAGGCTTCAACAATATTAACTTCTTCAATCATTTTCATATCAACTATCAAGTCAAATTAGCAAAACAAGTCACCAGCAAAACAAACAATATCGTACCACAAAATGGATGCTTGGATTCAATTGTAATTTAACAGCATTGGCATCTACTCTAAGAGATCACTGGCACCAAGGCTGCTTAAAGCTGATTGTATGCACAAAATAATGGTATGAATAAAGTGCACATCTATTCACAAAACACTCACCACACGCTGCCGCTCCTCCTCAATTTGATGGATAAGCTTGCCAAATTCTTTCAATGAGCCACTTATTACAATTTCATCATCTGTTTGTGCACCACCAATATAGCTAAAGTGGAATTTTTCCAGGCTTGTGGCAATGGTCTGCTGGCATTGAGACAAATCTGAAATATATAATTGCAAATTGTTAAGCATGAAAGATTAAGTACCTACTATATTGTCAAACCCACATCCAGCAAAACACAATGCAATACTATTCTTAATAGAAAATTGTGAGCAATTATTTGAGGAATAGAAGTCTGCAATGGAACAATCATGCATAATGAGGCAGTTATCAATATAAGCAAATGATCAGTAAAGCAAAATAAGAGTATCAGCTGTGGTCTAGTGAAAAAGTGAGACACACACTACCAGGCATGACAAATTGTCCTATATATTACATGTATAGTTACTTTTTGGATTCTGATCTGGACTTTTTTTGTCCAGAAGCCAAGGATGAGCAATATCATCTGACATAAATGGACTATTGCAATTGAGTAGGATATTTATTATCCAACAAAAGAGCCTGAAAAGCAACCATACATTTCTAAATATGGGTAAGTACCTAGGTCAGTAATAGTACCTACCTAGGTGAGGTACTCACGTTTGGCAGCATCCAGAAGCTCCTTGATGTTTTTTGTGAGACCTTTTATGAAGGTACTTGTATTTTCCAGTTCTTTTTCATAAGCATGAAGCTTTTCACGAAAATATGGACTATCAAGAAGACACTCTGTAGGTTCAAGCGGCAACAACCCACTACGCCCCATGGTTGAGGTTTATGCCATTTACAATCCTTGTGATACTGGCATGAGTTGCATGACCTGGTCCTGGACCATTCTTGAAATCAAAGGGGTTCAATGCACATTTTCCCAATAGATTACACCATTACAATACAGCCACGGAAACAGAGAAAAGCTTGAAAAACATTTCCAACTCCGTCTCACTCAGGACCTTGAACTGTTTCCGTATATTACGCACTCATTCTTGGTCAACATCAATCATCTTCATTTTCACCACTAATAAGCCCACGACACTTAAAATATTTGGGTCCCACTGAACTTCTCATAAACCTTAACACGGCACTTCAAACTTGGAGATTCACACATGGAATTGCACGGAATTCACGCACACACACACCACCAACCAACGCAAATTAAAATGTAATGTTGAATGTTTACTGCAAGTTGAGTGAACTGTTTTTGTCTTAGCTGCGCCATATCTGACTATTTTTTGTTCCAGATGTAAACAAAAATTTCAACTAGAAGAGAGACTATATTTTAACTTTCAGTTTTTTTTGCGCAGAATGAAACTAAGACCATTAAAAAAATAGCAGAAATTTTAAATTGATGACAACACAAAAGTGCTATTAAGTCAAAATATTAGGAAATAAAGGCTAAAAACACTTTCATTAATATATTAACTCGTACTTTAACATAAAGAAATGGACAAAGTGTGCTAAAATATTTTGCAATTTTCGTAAAATTTAAATATATTAGAATTTTCATACTTCCCCACCAACAAATTTTACAAAACTTTATTCATACCTACTAGGAAATAGTACAAAAGTAGCCTCGATTTCTTGGCAACTTCCTTTGAGAGCCCGCGATTTTGTCGGGTGGCTGCGCTCCGCTTGTCCTGAAAGGTAAATGCCGTTTTATCGCAGTTTTTGCTATTGCACGCATGCCTAATCAATTAATAATATTATCCAGCTATCTACCTTGTGATTTTGTGAACATCAACGATTATCATCCGTGAAGATCCAATGTATACCTTGGCGCATTCGTCGCAATTGTCAACAACGTGGTTACAACGCATGGCGACGACGGGGATTACAGACAGCTGGATGACTTTTATCAGCATTCACGGGTTTACCAATGGTAGGAAGTAATAATAACTTATTTTGAATGAGGTTGATTTGTGTATTGTTATATATTTTAGGGGATTTGGGTTTTATTATCCTGTCAACTTTGTTCATTCTTTGTTCAACTTTGCATGGGTGTGGTTTTTAGGTTCTCATTCAGTTTAATTTGTGTAGTAATATGGTGTTGCAATCTGCTATGCTCTGCTAGTCAACAATAGAAACATATATCATAATAGCTTCATTAATTTTAAATTGCAATTAGAACTGTTGTATTTTTGTATTGTTGTATTCATACACATTTAAGAACCTGATTTGTGAAGCTCACCATTCCATGAAGCTGACTCATGATTGATATCATAAGTTTTTCATCATTATACATCCCATTCAAGGTGCAAACATAGGCGAACTTAATAAAATGTCAGACTACCATGCAATTTGAAATGTAGCTTACATGTGCAGTCCTCCTTGCAGCTGCAAGCTCACCTTTCTCTCTACCTCTGCATCAATCCGCATTTAAAAATCATCAGTCAGAGCCATGTGTGGAGATTGGCAGAACCTAGCATTACTTTTGTGTGACCTGCACTTTGAATAATACATGCATGCAACCTTTGTTGTTATCCATCTGACCTAAATTAGAGACATGATGTTGACTCTTGAGAAATTACTCATGATCTCAATTCTTATGTCTGATATTCATAATAACATTTGAATTGTGATTAAGTGTCATAGCTTAAGAAATGTTTTGTTAAGCTTTTCCTTATCGAAACTTAACTTAATAATGCTTGTAATCTAGCCTTATGGCAGTAACTTTCCTTTTCATGTTCTTATATGTGAGACATGTATCTTGTTAAATCCATGACCACTTCCATTGTGATGTGTATAGTTTCTTATCATATAGTTGATCTAGTTGACCAACTATCTAGGTGATTGTTGTGATATGGATAGTTTCTTCAACCTGGTGAATGAAATTAGAAATACTTGCTTTGTCATCATTTGTTTTATGAAATTTGTGATTTGTACTTGTTTTGAAATTTTGCATTACCATTTAGGAAACTGCATTTTCCTAGGTTTCTGTGCCAGTGTACATTTGACACACTCAAAGGCATCCAATGATTAGGTAACTCTTTTGCTATCATACTTCTTTCACATTTTTACTGTTACATGAAAGGGCATGGTGAACAACCATTTAAAAGGTCAAAGTCATTCTGTTGCATTTTTTTGTAATGTTTGTATCTTTTCACTCATGCTTCAAAATTTGTTTTAAGCTACCACTGGGCAGTGGGCAATGACCTCAGGCTGTTAGGGCTTCTTTGAAATCATTTCTTTGTATGAAGACTAAGATTTGATTGTAAATCAGTTTGGTCAGTTAAAATGACATTTTGACACAAACACCTATCTTATATGTTTGCCTTTCTCACAATAAGTGCCATTGTTATGCCCATAGGTATGTTTTTGAATTTGGCTTAACTATTTGAATGGACACATAAACAGTCAGATGGAGCCCACACCAAGCAAAGCTGGTTATGCGGTCGCTGATCCATACTGTCCAATCAGGAGTAGCTGGGTGATCAATAAGATTCATTTGTCAAAGTTATACATGCCATCGAAGCCGTATCAAACGATTGGCTGCGGCTGTCTGTAGTCTCGCATACCGAACGCCGGAACAACTCGAACCCAGACTCAACTCTCGTCATCGAGAGTTCAACATTCTTTCAACGATCTATGGGACAGACTATTGGCAAGTCATGGGGCGGACTCCCGAATACAGTGGAGTTTCACTTACGTCATTAACCGAACGCCGGTGCCGCTTGCAGCGCTCGGAACCGCCCCACCATGCCGAAGGACCCGAAGGCCGATGATCCCATGGAGGATGTCGAGGAGGAGGAGACTGGTGAGGGGGACGCCACTGCACAGCTGATGCGCAACCCGGCCGTGCTGGCCGCCCTGCAGGGTCGCCTGGACGGGCTCGGCTCGCCCTCCAGCTACATCGAGGTGTGTTGGTGGGAGGGTGCCGCAGCGAGAGGGTTATGTGTTAGTGATGGAAGGGAAGCTGGAGCGATGACGGAATGACGGGTTGGGCGTGGTGTTCATGTTATGATGTTAGCTGGTTAGCCAGTACGTGATCTGTCAAGTATGTTTTCTCAGAAATTCTGACTTTGTTGTTTTAAAGTCATTTTTTCCCAGGAAATTAGTTATGTATGGTCACTTTTCGGATTATTCTCTGGGATAATAATATCTAACTCACAAGTCCATATATTTCGGATGATATTGCTCACCCTTGGTCACTGGACAAAAATAAAAACAATTACATGTATGAAAAACCACACACCAAAATTATTCCCTAGACGGGTTACATTTTTAAAAAATATATCACTTGCCAAAAAACTGACACGGTCTTTTAGCTTGCATGTTCCTCTACATAACAAGTAGTGCAACCAATCTTCTAAGTTCTACATATACCTATGGATACCTATTACCTATACTTGTGTCTACAGAGATACATCGGACACAATAGATCAATTTGCACAACCGGGTGTATGTTTAGTTCCTATGGATGACATTGGAGAAACAGGGCGCCCAAAAGATGTCAGGCTCAACGAGCATGCTAAAGACATCGAGCACGGGCGGGTACAAAAGTCGGCACCCGCTCGGCACACTAGGCAGTGCGGTAGAAACATGCACCCCATGGAAGGCAAAACTTTGGCATGTGAGAGTAACTGGAAAAAGAGAATCGTGCGCGAAGCAATAGAAATAAAAGAAAAAGATCCATACATGAACCGAGATGTAGGAAAATTTGGCCTTAGTCCAATATGGGATTTCACCCTTAGAAATAGGTCGACATGAGCATAAGATGCCATCCATAGGAACTAAACAGTAAACATACACCCGGTTGTGCAAATTGATCTATTGTGTCCGATGTATCTCTGTAGACACAAGTATAGGTAATAGGTATCCATAGGTATATGTAGAACTTAGAAGATTGGTTGCACTACTTGTTATGTAGAGGAACATGCAAGCTAAAAGACCGTGTCAGTTTTTTGGCAAGTGATATATTTTTTAAAAATGTAACCCGTCTAGGGAATAATTTTGGTGTGTGGTTTTTCATACATGTAATTGTTTTTATTTTTGTCCAGTGACCAAGGGTGAGCAATATCATCCGAAATATATGGACTTGTGAGTTAGATATTATTATCCCAGAGAATAATCCGAAAAGTGACCATACATAATTCTGACTTTTTTTGTTGCCATTATAAACACGGAAACGCAAGGTGACATGGAAACCATCATTAAAAATTCATCAAATTTCGAAAGGGAAGTGCATTCTAATGAAAATGAATATGAAATCCATGTGACTAATTTGCGCGCTTTGCATTTTAAACAGAGCCTGCCGAAGGTGGTGAAACGGCGGGTCAAGGCGCTGAAGAACATCCAGCTCAAGGCCACCCACATTGAGGCTGACTTCTACAAGGAAGTGCAGGCCCTCGAGTGCAAGTACCACAAGCTCTACACACCTCTCTATGAGCAGGTAGGTGGACGGCGTCGCGTCAAAATAATCGTCAGATTTGACCTGGGGCGTATCATATTATTTATCAAAGTGATGCTTTCTACTTTCAGTAACTTTTAGTCTTTGATGTGTGTTGTGGGAGGGGGTGCTATTTTTTAACTGAATTTATTTTGCCCTGAAAAAAAAATCCTGAACAAGACCGCTATTAACTCCGACGGGCCGGAGCCGGCACGTTCCCAGCCCGGCTCGTGTTCTAAGCTGCCCGTCCGGTGCCGTCCACAAATGTCACATTTGACGTTTGGTCGCCGCGCGTCAGATCGGACATGTGCCCAGTGTCCGCTGAATGGCGCCGGGCCGGACCGGGTCAGCGCTGTGACGGAGGCCCGCTTCCGAGGGGTATCGGGTCGCCGACCCTGCCGGCCTGCCGCGGCCTCCCGCCGCGCTGACTCACAGGCGCGGAATGTGCCACTCGTGATCAGCGAAATGAACCATGCGGCCCGGGCCTGGCGGCCGCCGCGGTGCCGGGCCCTGTGCTCATTTTATGGCCCCGGCTGCCTTCAGACCCTCACGTGCGGCGAGTTTATGCGATTACGGCTCGCTGTGGAGCTTGTTCCACCGTAAACAGGTCATTTGGGCTGTTCCGCTCGCGGCGCCTACGTCACGTGTTTATGGGAGACTCTCGGCTGCTGCTGCCCTCTATGTCTTGCCGCCACATCTCACCGACGGGCGCCATCTGAGGAAAATCGGCTGAGATGGAACCACGCAACTCTGGAGTCATCCCACGGAGCGTCGTTCCCGTGCCTCCTTGTAGTTGGTTATAGGAATGTGT